CTGACGACCGTGGCAGACAGGAGGATGCTGTCCAGGCTTCAGTCCATCTTGGACAATGTCTCACACCCTCTCTATGACACAATGGCTCAGCAGAGGAGCACCTTCAGCAGAAGACTACTCTCACCCAGATGCACCACAGAGCGCCACAGGAAATCATTCCTGCCTGTGGTCATTAAACTATACAACGCCTCCCTAAGAGAGTCAGACACCCCCTCTCTGTAATCTGACTTTTTGCTGTATTATTACATTATTACTGTACATTTGATCTTTTATATATATATATATATATATATATATATATATATATATATATATATATATATATATTGTTCTTAATATATGTTGTTTGTATAATATATGTTGTATGTATATCTGGAGTTTGTAACAAAAATAATTTCCCCCTGGGATTATTAAAGTGTTTCTGATTCTGATTCTGATCTGATTCTGATTCTGACTTGATGGTGGTGCTAAGCAAAGAGTCAGGAGATCACTGTTAGGGTTCATCCTCTAGCTGAACAAACCTCCATGGAAATCCATCTAATAGTTATTGAAATATTCCAGTCCGGACCAAAGTCGTGAACCCACTGACTGGCCGACATCGCCATCCATAGAGCCAAGCCTCTAGCGTGACTAGTAAATCATTTTTTATTTAATTGAAAAACTACACATGTCACATTAAAGGCTTATTTTATGATAGATCACATGTCTAAAATATCCCCTAAAACAAACTCTGTTTAGGCCAATCTAGACATAAATATATCCACCACTGAGTCATGTATTTTGGAGAACAATCTGAACGTTCACATGGTTACGTTCTTTTGAAATATACCAAAGATCAAATAATCCTTGTCAAATTTCAATCTGGTCTGTGCAACACAACTAACTACCTAATGAAATAAAGACAATCAAAAATATTTTGTGGGGTATCAGTTTCAACAAAATGCTGTTCAGATGTATTGTGGGTGAATGGACCATTTCTTAGCTTTCTTTGCACAGAAAATTGAATTGTTTGATGATGAACAATGTTGGTGGATGGCATTAGGCATCAGACCTCCATGTCTGTCGCATCTGGACAGCGTGCTCAGGAACTGAGTCACACTGCAGCCCAACAGAAGGGTCTCTATAGTAATCGGACTCATGGTGAAAAAACACAGTGGTTGTAGATGAGGCAAGTACAGTATATCGGTTTCATCTCCAGATAATGGCATAATTGTTTCTTTCTTCTTATGGTTAGTCACATCCTTCATGGTCTTCTTTTTCCTTCTCTTTGGGTGTCACGTGGCACTCATATGCTTCATATGGGAAGACATTCAACAAGCCATACATGGAGGCACCCCGATTTATCAACCAATTAGGATGTGCGTGATAATCCTGAAAGGAATGGAGATGAAGGGAAACACAGTGTGTGATATGTGGGTGGGGTTCAAAGTTGGTGGTTTTTCAGCGTCTCTGGGCCCCACAAACTGAGGCCTCCTACTGTCCCCTGAGTGTGTTTGTCCTTTGTGTCTCATCCATACCTAACATCCAGAGTCCTCTGTGTTTCTCCTGGGTTAGAAAACAGAGTCACACTGAAGGAATTTGGACCATGGCCGGTGTTATTGTGTGGAGGGAAGGCCTCATGTCCCCGCAAACATCTGTGTAAAGATGGATAGTGTGGAACTCATAACCTCAGCAATATTAGCACATGAAAGGTAGAGAGACTGCAGGAGGGCTTTTTTAACTGCTCATAGAGGCCCCTCTATTAGCCTCCCATTCATTCTCAAGCAGACACACACATGCCACTGTTATTACACACTGCATGTTGGTCACTTTCAGCATCCGTCGCAGTAACTAACTCTTCTGAGACGTTTGGCTGAGTAATTTTGTCATAATTGTGATTAATGTTCTGGCAGGTCACTGGCAGTGTTAAGGCAATTAACAAGGCTCAATGCCCCTCGCCCCCTTTGCACAATCAACAAGTCATTTACAAATCATTACTTGGGATTTTTCAAGAGTCAGAGTGTGCCTTTGTGGAAATGTGCTACGGGTCATCTGATACGAGAACAGCTACGACTCTGCTAATGTTTCCCTTGGGGAGTGTGATTTTGGTGGACACGATGCCCAAGGGCAGTGGCCTGGTCTGGGACAGGGGGGGTAAATAACAACAGAAGGAGGGAGCAAGAGGGGAGCTGTGGTTGAGAGAGAGCAGGAGTCATGGATAAACACTTCCCAGAAACACACACACACACACACACACACACACACACACACACACACACACACACACACACACACACACACACACACACATCAACTTCTCAGGGAATTGAGAAACTTTCTATGCAGGAAGAGTCAAGTAAAGTTGATGCATGTCTACTGTCTGATACAGGGGCGGATCTAGAAAAATATTCATGGGGTGACTTTAAGGGGTGGCAGAATATATGCTGTTTTAATTGCAAACAATCACATATAGCAACATTTGCTTGGAAGATTATTGTGTTAATTTCCTCTTTTTTAAACAGACTAATAATCTAAATGAATGTGCTAACTCAGCTTTTGACACCAAACTAGGATGACAATTATTTCTTTCTCTATAGATCTGCTCTGATGACAAAGGATATCTGAAAGAGGAAAAACGATTGCAGACAGCTCTGTATGCAAGGAAATACATATATTACATAAGGAATGCACTGTTTGTGTATGTCTGTCTGAAGAGTGTATTCAAGGAAACTTTTTTTTTCTTCCACATTATTATAGGGGTTTGTTTTGAATGAAAGTAAATGGAATGATAAGGAATAATTTAAGAGATTATAAGAGGTGTTATGTTTTATTTAAATTAAGTTTATACATAACTTCACTGTTCTCATTATTTCTGGCCGTCTAAAAAACAATCTTTCATTTTAAATGATGCCACTTCACCTATATTTTTCTTCTTTATTCTGTCTCTGTAATGTACTGTTTCTGAAGCTGGTAGCCAAAGAATTTAAGCTACCGTCTACCGGAAAAACCAAAGATCAATCCCACATGACAGCCAAGTGTCTGCCCTGCAGTAACTGACCTGTGCTCCTGAGCTAATTGTTAGTGGGGGTGAAACACAAAGTTTTTCTTTGGGTCCTTAATGTGAATGCAAAACTAATTCATCTCTTATAGGGTCACAAACAAGACAGAAACAGAAAAATAATGTAAAATAATGTTCAACAGAAAAACACACATAATTTCATAAATATGTTTGGATGTTGCAGTGATGTTAGTATCATCCAAAAGAAATGCGAACCAGAGTGGCTTTTGAAGGAGCACAAGCAAATATAATCAGACTTTTAGTGGACCACAAAGCAGTGGAGAACACCAGATCTGTGTGCGCTCACATCTTCATCCTGCCAGTTCAAACGATTCACAAGTTTTAGATCACAGCTGCTCAGTAACTGGCCTGGTAGTTTTCATTTCCGTCTAAAAGAATATTGTTGTGTCGCAGCACTTTTCTCTTCCATGGTCAAACCACAGCGACAAAGGAGTGTCTGCGTTTTGACCGCCTAATGAGCTCCGCTGGGCAATTTTCATGATCCCTTGACATTTCGGGTGGTGACAAACTATAAGGGCCTTTAAATTGCTGTGTTCAGCTGCCAGCGTGGCTGGAGGTACAGAGCTAAAGCAGAGTTAATGATCTTTGAGCAGAGTTAGGAAGTGACATCACACATGGATACATATACATACGGATATGCACGTACACACACAAACATTAAAACTGAACCCAGGTTAACTTTACCACCTTGTAGTTTTTTATTAAAAACTGTTCTGACCGAGGAGAGCAATGTTCACTGGGACCTTCTTGAAGTGGCTTTCTTTGACCCTTGTTACCCTCTCACGCACACACTTACACACACACACACACACACTAAAATTTCATATTTTTCATGCTCAGCTTTTCATGATGAATAACCACTAAGTGGAGTTTCATTGGCTACACATCTGGGAGCCCTTACAGCTAAAGATGTAGGGAATATGTACTGTAAGCTGAATGAGCACATACGCTTCACTCGTCCCTTATTTCTGTGTCATTCCTTGCATTTCACATGACAAATCTTTATTCGTCTGTCAAGGTGTCAGTTTTTTGTCTGACATTGTGGTTGAACTCCAAAACCCCAACAGAATTTTGAAGGCAATACTGAATATGAATTTCATATGTCTTCTCTTGTCTTGTACATTCCTCAGGCTTTGAGTAAATCAGTACAGCACTGACTGTACAGCTCATACCAAGGTGATGAGTAGCCTTCTGGTTTTATTATTTTTCTGAATATTTTTCACAATATTATAAAACACAGTCTTGCAGCACAGATTTTAATTCACTTTTTTGGGCAGGAAATTTGCTGTTTCTGGAATTTTCTTTATCTTCAAAGTAGCAATGACTCACAGTTGATTAGATCTGTGTTCTTGTCTCGCAAGTTTGGTTCGATGAATTTGTGAGACACAACATCAAGTTCCAACATGCTACTGAATAAGATCACTTGTGTAAATCTGCCAATTAGTCATTTAATCATGTTGTTCTGTTACACTTCAGTAAACTTGATGTGCAGATGCATTATGGATTTAACACATCTCATTTACTTTCCATGTAATCTTTTTTTGTTAAAGAAACTTCTTTTCATGTTTACATTAGCTGTTCCGTTTCTCAGACACAACACATTTTATATGAATGACCTAGTTTTACGAGCATGTTTTCAGACATTTCTCGCATTTTATTTTCTCATTTTCCATTTACAGGTAAAAGCACATAAAATCTAAAGTTCAACCTTTTACTTCTCCCTTTCGCTGCATCTCAGGCTTCGTGGCACCAGTCACACCACCTGCATGGTTTAACTGGTGGATGTTGGCAGCAATTCCAAGAACACAATGAGTTCTCAACTATTACAAGCAACTGCTTTTCATTTGAGGGCATGTTGTAATTGTATGTTTTTGTGCAACCCACCCAGATAATGTAGCCACACAGGTAAGTGCATGATTAAACAGTGATGATAGAAGGCAAATTTGTCTTATAAAGTTTAATTTAAAATATTCTCAGTGAACAAATGATTTACTCAGAGTACAAGTAGTTGCTGACATTGAAAGATAAGAGGATCTATCCTCTGTATGACTGATAAGATGTGACAAGCTGCCTAATCTTCACATTATTGGAGAGGAAAATACTTATTGCTACCTGCAGATTCCTGCAGTGATATCAGATTAAAACAATCAGTTCATACAGTGATTATATCTGATTAATTTCCACTTCAAATGGGCACACTAGCGCTAAATCAGTTGCTAAATCAAAAGCTTTATCTCCCACAAAGAGTGCTGCTGACTCTCCTTTTATCCTTAAAGGTCTTAAACCGGACTTCAAAGCTGATCAGTAAACACAGCAAAATGGGTTGTGGAATGTCATTCACAGCCATTTATCTCTCCCTGATGTTTCAATCAGCGGACCACTCTCATCACATATACTTCTGTGCTCCGCCTCACATAATGCCCTTAGAGGGAAGTTAAAAGTTCATCCCTTTTAGCTAATTTTTTTTCCTAATGGTCGCTTGTTGAGTTAATAGTTAAATAACAGGCAGGATTATTGTCCTTGCCTCGCGTTTGCCCTTGTGAGTAAAGCTAAACACATGTTCTCACATCAAAGTCTTAAGATTTACCCTCTGATCCGCTAGTACAGTAAGATTACAGCAGCTGTGAGTTGGGAATGGAAAAGCTTGTTCCACACTGAGTATAAGAGTCATTTAACTAAATACTTGTGTGTGTGTGTGTGTGTGTGTGTGTGTGTGTGTGTGTGTGTGTGTGTGTGTGTGTGTGTGTGTGTGTGTGTGCATCTGTGGGTATAAGTGTGTGCATTTATGATGATAGTCTTTAAACACATATATGAAGGCATACATTCAAATACTAACCATAACATTCCCTTTAACAGTAAAAATGTTGGCTGGACAACTCAATTGTAAGAGTGCAGATCCTTCATTTAAATGTTTAGATTTAATATATAAATGCATAAAAGAGTACAAAAATAAAACATTTGTATAATATTAATTTTACATATGACAAGGAGATTTAAATGAATAGATGACTCCTAGACTTTGACAGTTAAATGCAGCTACACATTCAATGATCAAAAAGAACAGAATGGAAACAGCACGATTAACATAAAAAGTAAATACAACAGACAGAATTTAATGGTCAGACTTAGTGAGTAATAGTAAATTTTGTTGTTAGAACTTGAATACATCAGATATAAAGTGCATTGCTATCTGCATGACAGTTGTGGGTAGACACAAACATCTATTAATTGTCAGTAAGGGTACTACAGTACTATTTTCTCTGCTGTGGCTCTCGATGTGGTAACTGCTATTCTAATTGCTGTACACCCTTCTTCGAAATGGACAGTCATACTGGAGTTATTTCAGTTCGAATCCAGCTGACATAACAAAATCGTTTTAACATGAATTTAGTAATACAGCTGTGTCAGAATTTGTTTGCACAATTTCTTCTTTAGTGAAAAAGCTTTCTAATTCCAGTAAAATTTGACTTATTGCTTGCTCAATTAAAAGTGTTTGGGATCCAGATGTTCAGCTTTTCTCTTAAGAGTGAAAAAAGCAGACATGCTGGGTAACAAAGGGTCGTGTAATCACAGCCACAGAGCAGCTCAGGAAATGCTCAAGCTATTTTGGCATCCTAATTTCCATCACAAAAACATTGTAATTGCCATTTTACTAGGATCTTTTATACATCTTATATTCAGTCTTGGGGTAGCTGGCATCCATTGAAATCCCATGGTGCCAATTAACTTGAAACATGAAATACAACTTGGCAAACTCTGCGCCTCTGCCCATTCTTTTGTTTTTGGAAGAGAAACTATACATTGTTCTTCATCATTGTGTACAATTTAAAATCAGAGACAATAAGGATAAGCAGATCTCATGTTAAGGATTAGTTATAATAAATCTCCTGGCTCAGTGGTCTACAGGACTCTACTACTTACAAGTGGGATGTTGACTCATGTTTGTTATGGAGAAAACCCTCCCGCTGACCTACATCTCTCCCCCTTGAACACTTTGACCCCCAGGTTGATCCCTTTTTCTAAATGACAGAGAGGCCAGAAGGACAAGAAAATCTCCAAAAATAGCTCTTTACTGTTGAAGTCCATTAACAAAAAAGTATATACATTATAGTTAGAAAAACATACACTCACAGATATAATTGCACTTTGCACTAATAACATCTATGATTTCTATAAGTGATGAGAGTGGTGATGGTGAAGTCGGCGACGGGGCTGGTGGATTGGTGTTCATAGTAAAGAGTTGTAGGTTTATTCCATGCATAAGGCCGCAGCGTGGCAGCCGGGATAAGTGCTGTACAACATACCAGATGATCTCATATCACACGTTCAATAGCTGTGATGGCTCAGGAGCATCTCTGCAGAAGCTTTTAGTTGGCCTGTTTGGATTTCTTCATCCTGGAAGGGAAAAGCAAATTTGGTATAAGAACAAAATAGATTGACTGACACACAGATGGTTGCTGGCTACCAATTCTGTCAAAACCAACAAGAACTGATAAATAACTCTTGCTGAGGGACAAAAAACTTGTATCATGTCTATCTGGTCAAACACTTGGCTGTGAAAATACAACTAGTAAACACCATATAGAAAAGTATTTGAGTGTTTGTTCAGCTGTGATTGGATGCCAGGAAAGTGCTAAAATTCAGAATATATTCACTTCTGCTATTCTCAAACAAAAACAGCTGCTTCAAGTTTGCTAGACCAAAATGTTTGTTGACCTGTAATCAAGAAACGTACTCTCGGCCTATTAAAGTTGAATTTTCCCGCATTCAGATTTAGCCGGTTAATGAGTCTGCTTTTAGCCCATCTGTCAGTTGGCCAGTTAGCCAACTACTTGTTGACAGGTTTTTTCCTTCCAAGAGAAGCTTTTTGTAAACTTTTCACTTCATCTCTGGTACATGAATAAACCCCAAACTTGTTTTGATAATTCGTACTAAATATGTGATATTGCAGAAAATTCCTTTGCAAATAAGTGGGTGATATACACATAGCGCTGCACTGTATATTAACAGTGTAAACACTTGAACATGGGTGGGCAGTTTAATTATTGACATTGGAATAGTACTGAGCCACATTTCAACTGATAAAAAGGTAATCATGGTCTTGTTTACCAGACTAAAGAGTAGCATAATGCATGACTTACAACTGTGTGCTTTTACACACATTGTAAATAAGTTTGTCCCCCCCTCCCCTTTGACTGTATGTGTAATTGGAAACACATTAGGTCTGATCCATTGTAAATGACCACCATCTATTCTCTGCATGGGCTGTTTTGTTATGCAGAGAGAGGCTCACACCTCGACAAGTCAAGGGCCCCACAATCATCCTGAGACAGACAGTCTGACTGCGGCAGTGTGGACGGGTCAGTCAGTGGGTATTGAGTGTGTGTGTCAGAGGCTAGAGCATAGCAGCAATATCAACATCTTCATTGAGACAGTGATTGCAGGAGTGCATTCATTTAAATTTTTTTGCATCTTTATCTGTCTCCACACCACAATGCAGAGTTTGTTTCATCTGACCACTACAGGGGTGCTAAATCCTTGGAAATATATGACTGCATAGAGTTCAGGATGGCAACTTGATCCCTTCTATAAACTTCATGGTGCCAACGTTTTTTTTAGAAAAGTGTCCTAAGGGCAGGAAGGAGACAGTTGATATTGGCAGTGACTTTTAGCCCTCACAATCTCAGACAAACTTTAATATGATTGTTGTTCCATTAACACTGAGGAGGATGGTAACTCTATGAAGTTACACCTTTTTTTTGCCTGTATGAAGTTAAAAAATCTGTTTAGCAGATGTATAATATTTATACTTATACTTATACTTATATTTAAGTCCATATTTTAATAAACCTGTGCTCTAGTAAGAGCAGACGAAACATGATTCCTGTATGTGAAAGTGGAATCAGTCTCTACTCCCACTTGGTCATGCACCAACATGTCTTGAGTTTTGGGCTCCATTATAAATCGGTTCGCAATTAGGAGCTGTCACTTTCACAATGGACCATTGATAGATGTCCAAATGTGCATTTGTGCTTTTGCATTCCTTACTTTAAAGTTCTATAGAGTGGAAGCGATTTTACAGTGCTCCAGATGCGATATCTGTTTCGAGGTTTGCAACTGACAAGAGAACAACAGAACCGTGCATCGAAGCAAAGAATCTGATTTTCTTGAACTTACTTGTTTATAGCGTTCTTCAGGTACTGCTGCAGCCACCTGACCTCTGGGTTCACACACACCTCTTTATTTGTCTTCAGCTTGGCACTGATTAGAAAAAAGGAAAAGAGTTCAGTACAGGCCAATTATGCCCCAGTTGAAGATGAAAGGGTGAATTATGCAAAGTCAGTAACATCAGGTGTCTTAACACATTGTTCTTTAACAGACTGACACTAACATTAACACTGCCATGTCATGTTTGACACATGCAGAGAGCTCTTTCACAGTGGTGACCAATCACTCTTTCAACCTGTATGTGACGCAGCAGATATTCGTACAGCTATAGAATACATGCATTCAGGAAGTTCTTAGAGATCATATATCCCTTTAGTTTGTTATTCCAAACCTAATTAATGTGCAGTGCAAAAAAAATTTGAACATGGAGGTTGAGGAGTCAATCTCTCAACATGTGGCTACTGGCTACTTTCTAAATCCAGCATAACCCTGTGGTTATTTACAGAATGGGTCAACACTGGATCATATGTCTCTATGTGGAAGATCATGCCTCGTCTGGCGCACATCCTTTATTCAGTAACTAAACATCAGCTTTTCCCTTTTCCTGTGTGTGTATTTGTCAAACCAGCCAATTTTAATTCCCACTCCTAACATTTAACTGTTCCTGAAGTTTTCCGCTCCATTGTGATCAACTGCATTGTGCTTGTGTAGCTGCACACTTTCATCTGTAAATCTACTCCACACGAGCCATAACAATAAATGAGATCAGACCTAAAGGTTGGATGAGGAGGAAATGCTGCGTGACAAGCAAATGAGAAGCAAACTCAATTACTAAACCCACAATTATTGCTTTCCTGTTGAAAACAAAACTGCATCCAATTTCCATCACCCTTTCACGTTCACTCAAACTCAAATGGAGCACTTCCTGTGGATGCGTCAGCGGGCCTGTAGTAAAAACTGCTTTCACTGCATCTGTGTGAAAGCGAGTGACAGAGGGGCGTATGTGTACACATGCATGCACAAATCTTTTCTCTGGCCTGTCACCTCTCTGAGATTGATGGTGAGAAATGTCCAACGAGGAGGAAACCTGTCTTATGTTTTAAATCCAGCGTGGAAAACGTGCAATTCTGTGTTTGTGTGGGTGCCACTCACTAAAGCAAGCATTCAAAATTATACTCACATCACTTGGAAGGGGCAGTTGGGCGTGTGGATGAACCTGAGCTCTCGGATGTAGCTTCGTGGGACATTGTTGACTGTTGAACGACAGTAGCATCTCTCCACCAGACTGATGGGCTTTGCTGAGAAAGAGAGGGAGATGAGTGTGAGTTACACGTTTACAGCAAAGCATGTTTGCAAGAAAGCAAGAAAGCAATAAAGCATAGATTAGATGAAGGTAACAACCTCCTGAGGAAACTGGGATACTACTAGATAAATTCTGTTGAATATAAATAACATTATTACAACAACCAATTAGAGCTGAAAATGATACAGAAAACACATCAATCCATCCACAACAACCTCTTGGACAGATTAAGAAGTTGAAGCATTGATGCAGAGCCACTAAAAATCTACAGGAATGTGTTCATGCATGCAAAGAGCCCATGCACTGTGCACTTAGCCTTGCAGAAGAATTCATCTATTCATTATCTGTACCTGTTTATCTAGAGAGTTTAGAGTTGTAGAAGGATGACGCCAAAATGTACCCACATTAAATCAAAATAACATATTTATGGTTTAGAGATTTTTTTAATTATTTTTTTGCTTTCCCAACAGAACACACACAGAGGTAGAGGACATACCAGGACTCCTGGACCCATAAACACTAAACTGTGGACTGTGTAGTCCTTAAACATCATGATGGATGTGAATACTTTGCTTCACAACCCTAAGCTTTCAGGTTGGTACACAGAGATTTCCACGGTTGATGAATTTGTAAAAACAAATAGTACTATGTTTTCTTTCTTATGGCCTTTGGTTTCTGTTTTAAACAAAACTCGGGGTTAGACAGGTTAACCGTGTTTTAAAATGCATTAAATTATGTCTAGTATCACCTTTGGTGGAGTACAAAGCAGGATAAAACAGAATCATTTTCTTTTTCTTGCAGTATTTCTAAGGGGAAACTGCGGGTCACAAAAACAGATGGTGAGAAGCACCGCTGTAGATTAACCTCTATGCTAATTGTTTTTTACACATGATCTCAAGGTATTAACATAATAAAGGGAGCAACACCTTCAAGTTGGGTGACTGATGTCGCCATGTAGACTAGCTGCGGCTTTGTCTTATAGCTGCCTCATTTGCCCGTAATTAAATGAAAACAAAGAGCAGAACAAATACACACGTTGAGCGGTGATCCGACAGGGAGCCACATGTGAAGCCTGTTGGCGCTTTACGCGCGGCGGAAAATGTTTTTTCTCACCCAGAACATTCTCATACATGAAACTCAAGATTTGTGGGATGAAAATAATATTTGTATCGAAATGACGAGGTTGACATTTAATTCAGGCAACATGTGCATTTTATATGTGTGTTATTTAAATCTGACAATTTGAATTAAATTGCAGAATATTTGGATAGATTTGTCACTAAAACTTCACGAAAATTAGAATTAACATACATTTAACAACATAACAACAATCACAAAGGCCTATCAGGGTTATTTCTATAGGCTATTTAAGAAGTAAAAGACAACAGTTATGGAAGGAAAATAAATATCTGTTAGACGCTTATTTAAACTTCCACTGATGTTTTTATTTCTAAAAATGCAAAATGTCTCAAATGTTTCAATCTGGCAAAAAAAGGATTTTTACAACTTATTATAACAGCTGCAAAAAAACCCCCAAAAAGTCTAAATAAACCTGAACCAACAACACACTGCAAACCAGAAAACAATTTCTTACCTTGTGATGGAGGCACATATATCATCATCACCGTGAGCGCAGCCACGACTGCCAACAGCTTCACATCCATTCTGCGATAATGCCGCTGAGGTTTGATCCTGCACGAAGTAAAGTCCAGAGGAGCTGTGACAGACGGGACCGTGGCGGGATATTAAATTACGAACCACTCGTCAAGCGAGCCAGAAAAACAGGTACTACTACATCCGGTCGTGATGGCGAAATAAAAGCGAGAAAGAGCATGTGCGTTGTTGTAACGACTATTTATCAACTAATATAGTGCATCAAATTACAACCAAACGAAAAGTATACGATTATAAAGTACATTCTTCCAAATATGCTTGTGATTGATGAGTCTATTTCACAATAGTTGAGTTATATGCTTTTATTTTGTAAGAAAATCCTTGTTTCCTGTTTCATTGGGGTGGTCTCGGGTGAAATTGACGCGTCAAACTATATCACTACCCCCCCACTCAGCACACACACACACACACACACACACACACACACTTTATCATGAGTCTAACCTAACATTTAAAAAGTCCTCTTATTTGCTGTAATTTGACACCATTCTACTGTGTGTTATGGAATATTTTTGGCATGACCTCCAAACTTCACAAGATGTGGATTTTGCTTTACTTATTTGCTTTATTTATTTAAGTCAACTAATAAGAAACACAATTTTGCCCACCAGACAAACACTGGATACAGTTCCCTCTGCTCAACATGGTCCTTGTGGCTGTTATTGAGGCTAAGAGGAGAAACGGGAGACATTTTTGCGCACGTGTTTATTTTTAGTCATGGTTTGCTTTTTCAGAGACTTCATTGGCCCAAATTAATTAAAAGCTGAGAGTGTAACTGGAGAGACCTCACATGTGCGTAAACTGTTCCGTTACATCGATGCATTACATTATATTGATGCTCTAACAAATAGACAAAAGGGACATAACACACCACAACACGCTCACCTCCCAGCGTGTGTTTGGAAAAGAGTTCAGTTCTTCTCACTGAATCTTCTAAGTGAATCCCTAAACAATTGTCTTTACACAGACTGCTGAAATTTCCAATCTGGTGTGTGTGTGTGTGCGTGTGTGTGTGTGTACATCCTCACTGCTGTGTTTAGGGGCATTATTAGCGTATTTAACGGGATGCAGATGTGAAGTCAGTTTGTCTTTCATCTTCCAGAGCAAACACTTCAGTGTATAAGTGTGCATATGTGTTTGTCTTATATGAGTAAATACATAGTTTTGGTGTGTGTGCATTGCAGAAGTTTTAGAGATCTGAGATGAAAACTGAGCCTTATATTTTGCACATATCACACACTGAGTTACTCTGATGCTTTAATACCTGAAATACCTTTAAACATCTGTTTAAGCCAAATACACACAGCTGAACTAAATGCAATTCCACAATAAAAATATATATTCAGAAATCATTTAAAAGCTTATGTTTACACAGACTGAGGGCGAGTTTTGCTACTTTTTTTGGTGAATCACAGGGCAACATGAATAATATGCATAAGTGTCTGGTTTTGTATTTTCTATTCTTTCTTCTTCCATTTATTGAAGACATATCCCCTCATCACACAGCTGTGGGAAAGAAAACCACCTGCTGACAGCACACTTTATCATGAAAATGAGTGAGGAATAGAAAAGGGAGAGTTCAAGGAGAATAACAGTGTTTTACGCTTGTGATTTACTGCATCCAGCCAGTATCACAAGTAAAGCACAAATCCTCCTTTATGTAAGTAATGTGGGCAATGTCTGTCTTAAAGACTTGGTATTAATGCACATAAGAAATGCTAATTATAAAGTGTTTTCACTCCCTAAACTTACTTACTTTTGTGTAAATCTATCCGTGTTCATCATTTTGTGCTGTCTGAGACATTTCGCTCCATATGGTGCACACTGTGTTTTGGATCTCAGACAGTTTTTTATAGATGATGCCATGGAGACCAGACAGACAGGAGGGGACGCACAGAGCAGCATCAACTGACAGCTCAATAGACACATATTGACTTCTCTCACAGGCCACAAAGGCTAACAATGTGTGTGTGTGTGTGTGTGTGTGTGTGTGTGTGTGTGTGTGTGTGTGTGTGAAGCTACTAAAGAGAAAGATAGAACAAGCCGAGAGGACCAGAGTATGAAAGCCAAAGTATTTGAGTAAGGGTCTCTCAGCTTGCAGTGAAAGGTGACTTCAGAGGGTCTCAGATCAAAGTGTCCCTCCGATCACAACAGCTCGCTCTCTCACAGGATGCCTGACATGTCATTACAATACACATTCACTTCTCTGTTCTTTCCCAAACCTGTGTGAGCCTGCACCAACAACAAACGTGTGCAGTGCGACTTGCGCAAGCACAAATACAAATGAAAGTAATTTGTCTTGAACATACACACAGACACACACAGACAAACGCAGACACACACAAAAAAAGTACAGATCGATCAGTGACATGTCACGGGTGAAAAGACAGAGAACATCCAAGTATTTCAACATTTCTGCCACATACCCGATGATTTACTTTCTTCTCCTGAGGTGAATGGACTTTAATAGTGTTGTTACATAAGCAGATTTGGCAGCACATCTTCTTGCCCAATTGTTTAATTCTTTCTTGCATCAACAAGTCCTCAGCCTGCATCTTCCCACAACGAAACACTCTTTTATCACCAGGAATAGTTTATGTAGATTGTTTAAAATTGAAGCAAATGAAAATAAATTATATCAACTTTGAAACTGAAAGTGAAAGAAAGTTATGCTTTGTGTTCGGATAGTGACTCATTTTTAATGAATTTTAATGGGTTTGCATGATGCGTTTCTGAACCTCTGCACCCACTGAACATACATGCTACCTGTTACGTTTCACTCACACCTGTGAAGTGTCCAGTGTGTTTGTCTGAGCTGACAAGAGTTGTGGTGTCATGTTCTGCAGCCCATCTGTCCATCTGTCTGTTTTGGGGGGTCTCACTCCAGGAGTCCATCTCCTGGACTCAGCATGAGTCATTTCTAACTGTACTTTTAAAGAACACGGTAAGTGCTTTTTTTGACTACAACTGTAAATCACATGTCAGGTTTTTCTCTGAAGCTCTGAAGGCACAGCAGGTGCAGGTATTTAGGACTTTGAAAACCACGAGAATGTTTACGACCGCCAACTCTGATCAACTCTGTTTCTTTGTTGTTTTTCTTTTTCAGTGTCACTTTTTTCAATCTCACTCTCGCGTCACTGGCATATCTAAATGCATCCTGTGTTGTCGACGCAAATAGAGGAAGCTAGAGAAAGTAGATAAAGGAGAAGAAGAAAAAAAGCAAATGTGATTGTTTTTTTTAAAAGTATATTTTTTGGGCTTTTATTGCCTTTATTATAGTGACAGCTGAAGATAGACAGGAAAGGGGGTCAGAGAGAGAGGATGACACGCAGCAAAGGGCCGCAGGTCGGATTCAAACCGTGGGCCACTGCAGCAAGGACTCAGCCTCTGTACATGGGTTGCCAGCTCTACCCACTGAGCTATCCGGGCGCCTGAAAATGTGATTCTAACGCAAAGATCAAAGCATTCAAATCATCAGATATTTTATATATTCTGTCTTACAGCGTTAAGTTCACAAGTCATTTCAGAAGTCCATAAATTGTTTCTGTTCTGTGTTTCTAGTCTGTGCATTTAAATATTTCTATACTTCTTTCTCGCATTTGAAAACAGTTTAAATTTCTGCACCAAATCTTTCGATTACGTTTACAAAGTTGCTATTGAATAGTTTTCTTTCTAAATATTTAAAAAGTTCAATAACAGTTAATTAATCTGCATGTCGCTGATGATGAGCTTGTGAAAACATGAATCTGTCACATGCCAAAGGATTGTTAAACATTCCTTAACTACTATTCACCTTTAAAGAGAGACCACGTGACCCAGGAGGCAGGAGTATGGATGGTTGAACGTATTATGTTGGAGTGGCCAGTTTCCATAGATCCAACTTTGGTTTGAAAACGTACAGGCAACTGGCCCCAGTGGGGGATCTGCCACAACTCCATTGAGGCTCTGTGAGGCTGAGGGCCTGCTGACTGAGTCTTTGTCTGGTTTCCTCTACATCCTCCAGAGAGTCACGAGCCCTGCGCCTTCATACCACCATATGGACCACCTCAATGGCCTGTCAACAAAGTCTTTAACCATAGATGTTGAATCAAAGGAGAAACAATGCGTTTGACAATGGCTTTATAATCACTTGTAGGTTTCGAGATCCTCCAAAAGTAAGAAACAAAAAAAAAGGCATTTTCTGCCTCATTTTAACTCTGAGTTGAATCTTACAAATCAAATAACATGGCATAATATCCCTTTTTTTCTGGTCAGAGTGCTCATATTTGTTAATTTTTTTCCCCCCCAGCAGGGACTGTCTCCACATTTCCCTCAATGCCCCCGGTAATTAGTGCTCTTTCTGCTCGTACTTTAAATAAGATATAATCAGCATCAAGTTTTGATCTTCTGCGTTGTCCTTCAAAGGGGTTTGTGAACCATACAAAATGCTCCTTGCGTCACTGTGCTGTTGTCACATCAATACTTTAATCAAATGTTTAATTTTTGCAACAAATTGCACATGACTCACCATCCTGTTTTTTGTACTTGCTTATGCACCAAAACATAATAGTTTTACTGCAGGCAAGAGTCGTATTAATAACAAACAGCAGACGGCGTTTTTGCAGTTCTTGAGGTACGGTGAATAAAACATAAAGTCCAGTTTAAAGTCAGTTGTGCTAGTTTTTATGGTTTCAGCTGTGAGTTTAATGCCAGAATGAGCCACATGAACTACAGCTGGTGTTGAGCTAGATGGTAAGGTTGATGGTGGATCCACAGAGTTTGACACCTGGTGCTCTCCATCCACGGGAACAAAAATCCTTCAGCTGCTTCTGTGATGTTGCCCAGGAGGAGCCGAGAGATGCATTAAGGTTCATGGTAACACTGCTGAATCGGCTTTTTGAAGTCAAGACTGATGATATACTGTTGTCATGCATTTACAGGGTTTTATAAATCGAAGGAATGCTATTGCGGTATATCATCCCGATTTTTTCCCGAAACACTCTCTAGAGTAGGTTTCCCAGTGGGTCATAGAAATCTATGATTCACTCTCACAAGATTTAGAGAGGATAAGTCATCGAATTGAACATTCGAGCATGAGTTG